CCTGGATGCGTCGATGTCTCAAAACCTCATAAAAGGTCAGTGAGTAGTCCCATGAAGAAAAGAGATTATTCACTTTGCGTGCCAATACATACCGGTATACGCACACAGCAGCTTACCCAGCGTATGGCCGTCCTCTCAAGAATGCCCACGATCCGTGCTGGCAATTTTCCGAGAACGGATGACAACAAAGACACATTTGCCCCAATCTTTGGTCAGTTAATTTTTACTGCACAAACATTAAGAATGATTTCGTAAAGTGTGCCAACCGATAATCCCTGATACGTTGTTCGTTTTTTTCCAGATGTGCAGCGAAATGTGCGTTCACGAAGCAGACCCGTGTGTCGTTCATATGCATACTGATTGCTACGCCACCCTAAATTTCAGCAGCGATGATGCAGCAAAGCAAGATGCTGGATAGCATTTTCGAACCGATGAAAAGCAGCAGATCGAACTCGCTTCATATCCGAAAAAAAAGAACAAGCCAAAAAATCCATCTTGCATTCCATTTTCAGTGAAAACGATGTCGCACGCAAGTGGTTTTAGCGAGAGCGCACTCTTCCAATAACTGTACTATGGCAAAATTGTGGACGGCTTAAGTTGTTTAAAAAGCAAACTCTACCCCCTGTCTACCACAGAGCTGACATACCTATTTGAAATGATCACTTCTCGGGCCTCTATGGGCCCCTTCCATGCTTTCTATTTCTCAACAAAATCCAATAATCAATTCTCAATGCAAAAACTGGGGCGAGTTTGATCGGCCTTTGGCTTTCCATGGTTCTCTCATTGGCCGGATCATTCGAGAACTGATGCATAACAGGTAATATCAGTAAAAAGCGCCCATAGCATTAACTTCGTGAGTTAAAAATTAACCTTGTTACCCATGCCTTCGCGACCTGTTGGCACCATACAGACGTCAATTTCGGCTGGTCGCAATCTAATTTTGCTACCAACACGACGATAAACTGCCAATAAAATGCCCACCAGTCGTATTTCACGTATCTGAAACGACATGCGTCCAAAGGGGCCCGTGGCAAATTACGCAACACGTGAGAATAATTACTTTCAGCATCGGTAGCTAAACAAGTTGCTGCGGACACACACACCCACAGACACACACACAGACACACAGAAAAACACACAGACACACAGACAAACCCGTAACAATATGCGTTTTGTACTGCTGTAACACAGCACAAAACGCATAAAAATCGGATAAGTGGTGCGGGACGGGATGCATTCAGTAAAACGTACGAAGCATGGAAATGAATGCCAACAGAAGCGCTAAGGGATGGAGCAGAAGCAGCAGAATCAGAAGGAGCGGGATGCAGAAACTATGCAAAAAGGGGGGCTGCAAAAGAAAACAGCAGAAGTGATTGAAGCAATAAAATAGCCAGCCTCTGGCAGAGGAAAACAGCGGATATTCAGCTGTGGAACAAAATTATCTGTATTTTACTTTTGTGGACATTTATCCGAAAAAAAAAACAAAATTTTTCTAGAGACATTTCACAAATTTTTAAGCAAACTAGCATATTTTGGCTAATTTGAAAGTCAATCTGGCTAAACCCCCTGCCCTCTGAGTAAGCCCTGGGTCTTTCCAGCCACACATCCTATCGTCTTTGGTTTGATATCGCCTCTCCCTGGCATCGTAATCTTTCAACCCCACTGATCGAATGCAGTTTAAACAACTCAGTGTAAAATATTCAAACCTAAATATCCAAGGCTTTCTGACGCCAAATGCAAACAGTCCGGGAGGCACAAAAACAGACTCTAAAATCGAGCACCGAGCAAGCGGGGCAACTACTAAAACCCTACTCATCTGTCTGGAGAGGGGAGAAATAAAAGGCTAGAAACGAGAGGGAAAGAGTGAGGCAGGGGATGGTAGTTTAGGTTTCGGAGATCGAAATAGAAAGAAGCGGGGTGCGCTTTATCGGAGAGGGTGCCTCTATGGGTTCTTCATGCTCAGCCTGAAATTTGTTGCTAAGGGAAAATTCGCCGCCTTAAAAGCTACACCAAGAACCTTATTAAGACAAAAAACACCGACATCACGATGCTTGCAACACGAACTCAACCCCAAGAATGAGTGCATACTGCGCGGTCGAGCCGAGCCGAGCCGAATTTTAGCAATTGGCTAAAAAAGCACGCCACAACGTCGCCTCCTTCCATCACACGCAAGCCTTGAAGCTCTAAAGTTGCCGGAATGTAAGATGTACTTCAGTATTTCGTAAAAAATCATGGAAGAAGTCAGAGGCTCACGAGG